AGCTAGAGCTGGGGTTATTTCCAGCCAAAATAATCACCAAGTATGAAGGAGGAGTAAAAAAAGTTCCTAAGAGAGAATTAGGGTCCTATTTGGCAAGAGAAATTAGTAAAAAAAATACCAGAGGATGAACTATGTACTGCATTAATTTCTAGATATTTGACAATCGTTTATCATTATTAGTAAAGCTTCCTTTATCTGGCCGAACATCCCCTCATTCAAAAAGAAAAGAAAAAAGAAAAAGATAAAGGCACATTGACGATCTCAGTTCAAAGCCAGCCTGGACAGTTTGAGTCCCACATCTTGAGATCACTTCACAGTGACACAAGTTACAGTTACTAATTTTTTTTTGTCCATCATGGGGCTTGAACTCTGGACCTAGGCACTATCCCTGAGCTCTTCAGCTCAAGGCAAGCACTCGACCACTTGAGCCACTTCTAGTTTTCTGGTGCTTGATTGGGAATAAGTTTCATGAACTTTCCTGCTGCACTGGCTTTGAACTGAGATCCTCTGATCTCAGCCTTCTGAGTAGCTAGGATTACAGGCATGAGTCACCAGTGCCCAGCACCAAATCTTTTGCACTTCTCTTTCAGCTAAAGAAAGAGGAGTCCCTGGAGGCTGAAGAAATGACTGTAAATATTCACAGACCCTCCCACAAACCAGTCACCCAGATACTGTGTAAGGCCCTGCCTTTTGCTTTTGAAGTGTTCCTTTCTTGCTTATTAGTACAAAGGAGGTGTGGTCCTTCCTGGCAAAGTGCTGCTGCTGATCTGACCTGCAACCTAACATCATGGTCCATCTTTCTTCCTCAAGCTTTCTCATGCCTTTAAAGTTTGTTTCCTACCATGATACATTTGTTGCAGTGCGCAGCACTTAGTGATCCTTGGTAAATTCCACCCACTCTCTGAGCATCTCAATATCACCACTCCTCTCTGGAAAAGTTAACTTATTTGGATTCCTTAAAAATAGAATATGGAGCCAAGCACTGGTGCCCCACACCTGTACTCCTAGCTACTCTGGAGGCTGAGAGCTGAGGATTATGGTTCAAAGTCAGCCCAGGTAGGAAAGTTCATAAGTCTCTTATCTCCAAAGAACCACCTGAAAAATTGGAAGTGGAGATGTGGCTCTAAGTGGTAGAGTGCCATCCTTGAGCAAAAGAGCTCAAGGACAGAACCTAGGCTCTGAGTTCAAGCCCATGACCAACCAAAAAGAGAAACAGAAAGAGGCAGAGATAGAAAAGAGAGACAGACTGGCAGAGAGAAACTGACAAAAACAAAAACAGAAGATATAGAGATACAGAGAGAGAGGAGAGAGAGAGAGTGTACAGAGACATACAGAAAAACAGAAGAGAAACAACGACAGAGTCACATAGAGACAGGTATAGAGACAGACAGGGAGGCAGGGAGGGGGAGAAGGGGAGGGAGAGAGAGACAGAGAGAATGGTCATGGAGCAATTCCTACCTAAGGGCAACCTACTCCCTTCTTCCTCCTTAACCTACTTCTTTGAAGTAAGCTCCATCTTCTAAAGATTCTACCACTTCCCAATCACACCATGAGCTGATGGGGTCTGTAGGATCCTATCCTAACAGTTCCTTATTCACTTTAAACAACTTTAAACACCAACTCTTCAAATATAACCATTTACTTACGCAATCAGTTTGTGTGGCTCCTAGTCTAACTTGCAGCATGCTTCACTTTCAATACTACTACTACTACTATTATTATTATGTTCTTAGAACTTTGAGAGAAATTCAAAGTATTATTATTGTTATTTATTCATTCATTCATTTATTTTGCTTGGCCTGGGGCTTGAACTCTGTGCCTAGCCTCTGTCCCTGCTCAAGTCGAATGCTCTACCACTTGAGCCACAGCGCCATTTCCTTATTTAAAAAATATTCTAAGGAAAACTCTTATATAAGTTATCATACAAAAAACTAAGCCAGGTGCTGGTGGCTCACGCCTGTACTCGTAGTGACTGAGGAGGCTGAGATCTGAGGAATGTGGTTCAAAGCCAGCCAGGGCAGGAGAGTCTATAAGACTCTTATCTCCAATTAACCACCAAAATGATGAAAGTGGAGCTGTGGCTCAAGTGGTAAGAGTGCCAGCCTTGAGCACAAAAACTTAGGGATAGCACCCAGGCTCTGAGTTCAAATCCCAGGACCAACACACACACATACACACACACACACACACACACACACACACACTTTATACAAAACTGATCCTAGATCTGATGCACTTAATACTTCTGTTAAAATATTCTATATTGAGTCTCTCTAGAATTTAGTGTGCTTATAACTGTTCTAGCTTCACTTAGGTGGTAGGAGAAACTGCTGGAAGGAACTAAGAGTGTACATTATTGGCCCTTCTCACCCACACTGCCCCTTCTCTCATTTCCCACCCTCTTCCAGTTGTCCTGGTCCTAGTGTTCACTGTGTGTTGGACCCCATTCCACATTGACTGGCTGATCTTCAACTTTGTGGAGGAGTGGATGGAGTCCCTCGTGGCTGCATTCAATCTCATCCACATGGTGTCAGGTAAAAACTGGGTCAGGTGGGCTGCATGTCAGAGGTATGGGTTCACTTCAGCCTTTTCTTCCTTATGCATCATCTCATAGTCTCATTATCCCAACACCTCACAAAAATCTGGTCCCCTGGAGTGAAGGAATTTCATTTCCATTGCACTCCAAGATTGAAGAGAGGTATGTGATTTGGCCAAAAGAAATCACCAGATCACTTTTCTAGAGGCCATTTTCTACCACACTGAAGCAAAAGAACTACAGCAGAAATATGGCAAAGGAATCAGGATTCCTTTTGGTTTCTCTTCCAATGGCTGGATGATGTTAATTTAGCACATATAGTGTCCATGAAATCTTATCCTCTGTTGTGAAGGGAACTCAGGGCTCATCAAGGCCTGTATTTATGCTGTTTGGATTATGTGTTTTGTCAAGAGGGCCATTGGAATAGGGTGGAAATCAGGAGTGGGAAGGAGGTCACTAAATTGAGTGACTTGGATTTGTACCCCATTAATATATTTTTTGCCTGTCCTGAGCCTTGAACTCTGGGCCTGGAAGCTATCACTAAGTTCCTTTTGCTCCTGGCTAGTACTCTACTACTTGGGCTACAGTACAACTTTCAGCTTTTTCTGTGATTAATTAGAGGTAAGAATCTCAGATTTTTTCTGCTGGCTTTCAACTGTGATCCTCAGATCTCAGCCTCCTGAGAAGCTAAGATTACATGTGTGAGCCACTGAACAAGTTGGCTTTCTCCACGTCCAAGATGCCTCAACCACATCTGCCAGTCATGTCTGTGCTAGACAGCCATGGCCTAATGGTAAAAAGCAAATGGAACAAGCTGAGCACCAGCAGCTGACTCCTGGAGTCCTCACTATTCAGGAGGCTGAGATCTGAGGATCATGGTCTGAAGATGAAAGAGTGCATGAGACTTATCAACAGTTAATCAAGCAAATGTGACTCAAGTGGTAGAGTGAAAAAGCTAAGCAAGAGTGGGAGGTCCCAAGTTCAAGTCCTAACACACACACACACACACACACACACACACACACACACACACAGAAGCAGATGAAATAATAGGCATGAAAGAGATTATAAGTTGTCAACTACCATGACATTCTAGCATCACCACAATAAGGTGATATTACTATTAATAACAGAATATCATCATTAATATTTTATGGTCCTAGAAACAACTCCAGAAGAAGTGGCTTGCCTAAAGCCGTTCAGTGGACAAATAGTGAAAATAAGAAATCTAGGGCATCAAATGTCAAGTTCACATTCAAAAACCAGAGCAGAAAACAGCCATAAAGGCTCCCTTTTTTCAGTCAGTGTGACTATTGGCTTTGGATCCTTCTACCTCTGTTAGTCACTAGCTCATTTGGGGAACTTTTTAGCTCACAAAGACATAAGCAGAGAGAAGTAGGGAAGATCAGATAAGATTTGTTTCCATGACTTAAGCTCAAATAGACATGGAGCAAAAGACAGTAACAAATAAATGTCCACTGAGAACCATGAGCCTCCTTCTCACCTGCCTTTTATATTCAGCTGTCATGTGCATAGACCATATGTAAATATTAGTGATGTCAGGGTGGACCATTTATTTACAGAGCCAAATCTCAAAACTATTTCCAGCTCTATCCTATAGTTAATAGAAAACTAAAGTATCTAAATAAATTGAGAAGGCCTCCAAAGCCATTTGACTAGTCAACCTCTTCAGATATAGCAAAGGGACACCTTAATTTAGGTTTGGTGGAGGTGGGCAGATGAATGGAGAGAAAGGGTGGGAAAATACAGTCATAATATTCAGTGCACATAGGTGCAAATGGAACAAGTAAGTGGAGGGGATGGGTGGGGTTAGGAGAGATGGGGGAGAATGGAGAATGAGGTGATATTGATCGAGATGCATTGCCCGCAAAAATGACACATTGAATTGAAACCCCTTGGTGCAACTACTTAAAGATAATTATAAAAAAATTGCGAGAAAAGATGCTAACTATGGCTTTAATAATGACATGCTCTTATTAAAACATCTCCCCCACCTTCCACATTTCAAACTAGATGAACACTAATCTTCTTAAACCATCAGAAAAACCCTAGCTAGGCACCTGATGGCTCACACCTAGTTACTCAGGAGGCTGAGATCTGAGGATCATGGTTCAAAGCCAGCCCAGGCAGGGGAAAATCAGTATGACTCATATCTCCAATTAGCCACCCAAAAAAGCTGGAAGTAGAGCTGTTGCTCAAGTGGTAGAGTGTAGTATCCCAGTTGCTATGAAGCCCTGTTTGTTTCCAGGGTTTGCAGATGGGCAAACTTACAGGAAAAGCCCCGCCTTTTGCCCACCAAAATGTAAGCCCCGCCTTTTGCCCTGCCAAATTCGCAGGCCAATTCAAACCAAAATGATAGGTTAGTTTACTATAAGGCAGACTAACTCCATTGGCCACCTGTGTGTGGCCTGACGTGATTATGGAATCTTGTGTGTGTGTTGCAAACCCATTGGCCACCTGCATGTGCCCAGACATGACTGCATGGATTTTCCCTTTAAAAGCCCTAGCTTGTGGACCATTTGGGGTTGCAGTATCAGCTCCCAATTCTCTATGCTGCATCCCCAATAAATTCAATTTTTTACATGAGGCTGTCTCTGAGTGGTGGACTCATTTCTGCAGAACAAGAACACTAGACTTGAGTGGAAACCAAAGCCCAGGGACAGCACCCAGTCCCTGGGTTCAAGCCCCAGGACTGGCAAACAAAACAATAACAACAACAATAATAATAATAACAGAAGATGCCCTAATTCATTTCCACTTTTAAATGGTAACATTTTCATTAACAGTCTATTCACTTGGCCATGTAATCAATAGAGAGCACTACATACTTGTCCACATGGCCTCTGCACATTACACTGCAGTATCTTCCCCTCTCTTCCTCAGCTGTCTCCAGCCCATTTACATATGTAAACAGATTTCATACCCTCCCACAAAATCCCTTGTGATGTCTCAGTCCTTGTAAACACAAGGACATATGTCATCGTTGGAACTGCCATGGAGTGCCTCTTAGTGAGACATATTTTGTTCTTAAGTGACATGGTTTTGTTTCAGTGTAGTGTTTATTATTGAGTTTGGTCCAGGCTATATCCCTTGATGGTCCTGAGCCACAGTAAGATTACAGTTGCTAGCTGGGTGCTAGTGCTCATGCCTGTCATCCTAGCTACTCAGAAGGCTGAGATCTGAGGATCACCTTTCAAAACCCAGCCCAGGCAGGAAAGTCTGGGAGACTCTTATCTTAAACTACTCAGAAAAAGCTGGAAGTGGTGCTGTGTTTCAAGTGGTAGAGTTCTAGCCTTGAACACAAAGAAATTCTGGGACAGTACCTAGGCCCTGAGCTCAGATCCCAAGACTAGAAAAAAAAGGAAAGAAAGAAAGAAAAGAAATAAGGTATGGTGCTAACAGAAGAGTGTGTAACAAATGGATTTGACAGGGTTCCAGCAATGGGTTGGGTAAAGTAAATAATAAATGCAATTAGTCAAATAAAGTGGAAGAATCGCCAAGGGGGAAAAGGTAGGCAGGGAAAAAGTTTGGGGAATATTTGTTTGGAAGAAATGTTTACAGGGAAGGGATTGTGACTGTTGACTGAGTTACCATTCCTCCATTACTTGCAATTTCAAATTGGACATTTAAGTAAAATTCCAATTGTAAGGAAATTAACAAAAAAACTTTCCTCTGATGGTTAAGCATCTCTTCAAGTTATGGGAACATGTTCTTTAATTTAAACAAGTAGAGATCAGAGGAAGTTACAGAATCTCTCATCTCAGATCCCAGGCCAATCTACTTTTATTTTTTCCCCCTCAAAACTCATCTTTCTGTGTTTGATCCTCTAATGCACAGGTGTTAGATCTACTCAGAACATCTTGTAGTCTTGATTTAGAGTCTTAGAGATAACACTCTTTCTGAAAAGACTCTCCAGGCTTCTCCCAATGTGTCTGCTGCTCCATTTCTCCTCAGTGGGTCTAAATGGTTCCTTTGTATTACAGGTGTATTCTTCTATATGAGCTTGGCTGTCAATCCCATTATCTATAACCTACTGTCCTGTCGCTTCTGAATAGCATTTCAGAATTCACCTCTGTCCTGCAAATTGGGGTATGCCCAGAATCATCCACAAAGGCCACCTGCCCAGAGAGACATCTTCCTGACAGAGTGGCACTTCATTGAGCTGACAGAAAATGCAGGGCACTATTGGTAGCAGTCAGCAAGAACTTACCTAGGATTTAATAGTAAATGCACAAAAGATAAACAGGCAATCCTCTAAATGGCCAGGTACAAATGTCTTTAGACCCTCCCTAAGAAAGAAACAAGAATAGTAACTCTAGTAATATGATTCTGTTTTCCTTTCATCCTGCAAGAGAAACTTGAATATTAAGGTCATTTTTTTCAACAATTCATTTTTACTTCTTTTCAAAAGGTATCAAGTCTCCCCAGAGGAATACCCAATGGATCTTTGAGTAGTCTGTTTCCTATTTAATAGGAGTTGCAGATAGTGTGTTCTTCAAAACCTGTCTTATACCCTTAATACTACAGCCAATGAACAGCCAGTTCCTTTACTAATGTAAAAAGCCCTCCAGATTCCCTGACCAAAGTGGTGCTCTATATAATCATCTTAGACTATGTCTTAGATGAACAAGGAAGAATTCATATAATTGCTAATTATCTTGCTGTGAATCCCAAATAGAATCAGGTATTAATAAGTCAGGGGATGAGACAAGAAGCTACTTGGGCTCCAACAATCCTTAGCTCACCAAACCCCTGTTCAAGAAAATGGAGACTAGTTGTGTTAGCTAGCTTTCTCATCACTGAAAGAACACCAGAAACAAGAGGAGAAAAGATTTGTTTAGCTCATAGCTTCAATCCAGCAGAACCGAACAGCTCACCTCAAGGCAGCCCAGATTCAGTGGGGTGGGGTGTGTGTGTATGGAAACAGAAAAAAACCCAAGAATGCCTGTGGCTTCTTTTTCCTCCTGTATCCTATCA